CATTACCATTACCACCACGATTGCCACTATAATTAGAATTACCATTGCGATTATCATTACCATTAGATTATCACTACAATTACCATTACCATTAGATTATCACAACAATTACCATTACCATTACTATTGCCATTACTTTTGTAATTACCTTTACAGCATCATTACAATTACCATTAAAATTACGATTACGATTACCATTATCGCACCTAGTATCCTCTCAGTATACCATTGATTTTTCTAATACCGAGTAAACCGGATTATTACAATCGACTAAACCGCATTTTCACCTAGTTCATTTACATGTTTACCAGATTTTAAAAATCCCAAAAATGTATTTTATTGAAAATGCAACTACACTCACGGCAAAACGTATTGCTACAGAGAACCGTTCACAATATATGCAACTATTTTCTTTCGCAAATTTTTTATTTTCATAACATATTTTCGGTGGCCAACCTAGTTTTGTCGATTATTTTTGCGAAGAAGAGGAGAAATGCCTTATGTAAAAGTAAACAAAAATGGACGCTAGCAAGGAAAAGAGGTTTGTAAAGGTATTTTTTTTATAAAATATTAAGTTGAAATATATTTAAATTGCTTAAAATAGCAGAAAAAAGTAATCTCAGTGGCACAGAGAAGAAACATAATCTTTTCTTGTCATGTGAGAATAACAAGTACAACAAATTTCACGGCTAATAATCTGAGAATTGCCTGGGTAAACGGTGTGATTAAAAAACCTAGCTTTATTTGTGATTATATTTATATATAAACATACTTTTACTCGCAAACCAGTCTCCGAAAAAAGTCGAATAATCGAACACGCTAATTTGTAGTAAAAAGCGTTAAATTTTAGTTTTCCTATTTGATTGAAATCATAAGATTTATTTATTTATTTATTTGTAGATATATTTATGTTAATTAATTTTACACAAATCTTAAGAGAAAATTTTGCACAATTTTATTTGATATTTTAAACAAGATTTCAGCTTTGACTTTAAAATTTTGATTCATTGTC